CCATGTACCCGCCGGAGGCGACCGGTGTGGCGCCGTTTGGCCCGCGCAATCCGATCGCGTCTGCGTCGGCGCCGGAGGCCCGCATGACGTCCTTCGTCGCGTCGCAGCCCAACGCATCAGTGGTGCGGCAGAGCAGCATCGTCATCCCAAGCGCGCTCGGCGAGAAGGAGTTCGAGATCGTCGTGATGCCGCGCGACGAGTACGAGCGGAACTACGGTCCAAAAGATAATGATGACACGGCACAGTGAGTGCCAGATGTGCCGCACAGCTCCGTTCATGCGTGTGTCTGAGCGAAAACAAAAATCACACACACCCACTCTCTCACACACACACACACACACACACATACACACATGCCCACAGAAGTGAGATAGCGGCAGGGTGTGACGAGTTGGTGCGTGATGTACAACCACTGGCTTTTGTTTCTCCTTTCCTTTACTTGTATGTCGGCCTCCTCCACTGTAGAAGCCTGTGAAGCAGCCAAAATGATGACAATAGAAATGAAGACGGGATCGAATAAGTAACTCCACGAAATGAATGAAACACAAGGACAAGAACAGCGGAGTATATATATATATATATATATATATGCACAATAGTTACCTGCAGAGATGCAGTATATATAGTGAGAGTGTGCAACGAGAAGGAGAGGGCACCGCTGAACGGATGTCTAGAAGGACAGACAAACAGACAGAGAGAGAGAGAGAGAGAGAGAGAGGTTGATAGAGTAATCGCTGGTGAGAAGAAACGACAACAACACCAGCAAAGGAAATGAATGTGTGTGATAGCGCAGCGATATACAAGAGAAGAGGTGCATTTCTTTCACGAGAGCTGCTGCTCCGGTCACTTAACCGCACGCACCTTCCATCTGTCTCTACGCACCTCTCTTTCTCTCGCATATTATTAGTGTGTGCCGTAACGAGGTTTGTGTGGGTTCGTTGTTCCCGTACTTTCCGCTGCGTTCGCACGCTATTTTCAAGAGTGTACTTGCTTACGTTACCCTTTTGTTTGATTTCTTTTCTTCTTCTTCGCCCAGCAAAGATGTGTCCAGGGGGTTCTCGGTGGATGGGCGGTGGTCTACCGCTCTCTTCTGCCGGGTCCTTCCGTGTGCTTCTGCGCGGGCCGATATGTGTCAATGTCTCTATGTGCATGTCGACGTCTCTTGCGTCCGATTTGCCCTGTTCAATCTCTCTCCCCGTTTGTCCGTCTGTCAGGTCTATTGCTGGTGCTTTTTACCCATCTTTGCTGCTCCTGCTGTCTTTGTGCATCCGTGTTTTGTCTCTGCTCTGCGGCCGCAAGCAAACAGCAGCGGCAGCTCACATCACGCGACGCCGCGTAGGGGTGCGTCTCAAGCATAACAAGAAAGGTCTCTGCGTGTGCGTGGGACGGAGACCGAGACATAGCCGCGCTTCTTCTGCTGCTGCTGCTTTGTAGCAACGGAAGGAGGAGGGGGAGGAGGAGGGACTCCCACACCGAAGCCAAACATCACACACGTCGGGTACCATCGTATATTTAGACAACTAGCCGAAGGCGCATTTCGCTTTCTGTCATGGCGCAGCGTGTCTCCGCGCGAAGGACCGCGGACGAATGGCAGGACGCGTTCTACAGCCTAGAAGAGCGGCACCGACAGCTGCAGCAGCGGCTAAACGAGAGGGAGCAGGAGGTTAAACTGCTCAAGGTGGCACAGCGGCGTGGATCGACGGCGGCAGCAGCAGCACCGCTCGCAAACAGCGGCTCTGCTCGCCCAGGTGCTGCTGCTGCTGCTGCTGCCGCCAATGTCCATTCACGAGCGACTGGGGCGCGCAGTGTGACGGCGGCGTCAACAGCAGCACCGCGTGCAAGTAACGATTTGCCGAAGCCGCCACAATTGGGGGCGTCGGAGGTGGCGCCCGCCAGTCGGTCGGAGCGGAATGTGCAGTTCGTCTCCGCTCCTGCTGCTGCGCGGAAGGATGACGCTGCTGCGGCAGCTGCGGAGTTTACGAGTGCCTGGTCGGCCGCGCCGCCGCCTGACCCGTCGATGGTGTGGGGAATGGAGAACAGCATTCAGAACTACGTCACCGCCAATGCCCTCTACCATGCCAACGAGGAGTTGCGGCACCGGCTCGACGACGCGGTGAGCCTCGTACAGACGCTGCAGCACGAGCTGGCGGCGAGCCGCAGCACCGTGAAGGCGATGCAGACACGGTTGGACGATGCCACGCAGCAGATGCACCACCTGGTGCGGGAACGTGACGTGGCGCAGCACAAACTGGGCGTCTCGCAGCAGGCTGTCGGCGACCTCGAGCGCAGTCTGCAGGGTCGCGCCACGGAGGAGGAGCGGCTGCGTTTCGCGCTGGAGAGCCAAGTCACAGAGCTGCGCAGCCGCCTCGTCGTGGGCGCCGACAGCAACGAGCTGCTTAGTCGCGACGTGCGCACGCTGCTGGCGGAGGTGAAGGAGAAAGCGTCGGAGGCGCAGTCGCTGCGTTCGAGGCTGTCGCTCGCCGAGGCGGCGCTCGCGTCGCAGAAGCAGAACAACGAGAACCTCCTTGTCGAGCTGCGCAGCCTCAACAGTCAGCTCGTCAATGAGCGCAAGCGTCTTCTCGCCATGACACGCGAGGCGCAGCTGGCGAGCCTCCGCGCAGAAGACGTGAAGGACGTGGAGGCGCGGCTCGCCGAGGCGGTGGCGGCGCGCACCACGCTCGAGCACGAGCACGTACAGCTGATGGAGAGCCTCGTCGGTGTCACGGAGGGCGCGCTGCGACAGGCGCGCGAGGAGGTGCGACACGACATGGATGAGTGCCGCGCAGCCGCCGCGCACTGGGAGCAGGTGGCGCAGCTGCTCTACAAGGACATCGCTCAGCGCACCCAGGCGCACGTGCAGTGCCGCGAGGAGTGCGAGGAGGCGAAGCGGGACCGTGACGAGGCCACCATAGCTCTGCGTGATGCGTGGGACGAGCTCAAGCTGTGCCGCGCGAAGCTCGACATTGTGTGGCCGACACACCGCGCCGACACGCGCGACTTGGCCCCAGCCGAGATACTCGCAACGTTCGGTAACTACAAGGCCGTCTTCCGCCAGCAGCGGAAGCACCAACGCCAGCACGGCTCTACCCCGACACAAGGAGCCCTCGGGCGCCACCATGAAGCGGAGGATGATGGCGACAGTGAGGGCGATGTGATAGTGGAGCTCTGTGATGTGCCGCTGGAGGAGCAGGTGCGCGAGCTGCACGAGGCGAACGGCGCCCTACTCGCGGAGCTCACGCAGCTGCGGCTGACGAGCGAGCTGCAGGCGGAGCGACTGCGGACGATGGAGGGCGGCGTTCGTGAAGAGCGAGCAGCGGTGCAGGCTGCGGAGGAGGCGCTGCAGCGACGTGAGGACGCCGCGCAGGATTTTCTGCAGACACAACTGGACCGCGTCACGTTCCTTGAGGCGCAGGTGCGCTCACTGCGCGGCTACGACGTGTCGCCGAACATGTCGCTGCAGGAGCTTGCCGACGGGGAGACTGTATTCGAGCTCTTCCTTGGGCAGATCCTCTCGACGGAGACACCGGAGGGCGTGGGGCTGCGCAACGCATTCCCGCCCCTCTTCTGCTCGGTGGACTTCTTGCTGCACGAGACGGTGACGACGCCAATCGTGACGGGACTCAACGCTTTCTTCGACACGACCGTCGCGTTCCGCGTCGCGATGGACGCGCTGCTGCAGTGCTACCTGCAGACCCGTGAGCTGCTTGTTCAGCTGCACCGGGTGCGGTCGCAGAGCGAGATCCAGGATCTGACAGACAGCCAAAACAGCGCCGACAACCGTCTCTTTGCAGAGCGCCTCTCTGCAACATTGGCGGAAGGCACCGTGAGCTTGTGGCCACTCGTAGCGGATGCGGCGCGCCGTGACGCGCAGCGGCCAACACTTCGTGGGCATATTCCGTTGCGCACCTCCAGCGGCCACCACATCGCGTCAATGGAGTTCGTCGTGACGGTACGCACGCCGTTTAGCGAGTCGTTCCGTGCGTTGGCCGCTAGCGCCGCCAGGGACTGGCGCCCGACACCGAACGTGATCGCCAACGCCCCTGCGAGCAGAATTATTCCAGTAACAGGTGAAGCTATGTCAACAGGTGCGGCAGCTCTATCACTGCTACCAACAACATCATCATCAGCAGCAGCAGCAGCAACGACAGGAGTGGTGATGAATATGTCGCGTGGCGATGGGCGAATGCAGCTGGTGCCGACTCCTCACCAATCCGATGCGTTCGACGGCGTCTCCACGACGTCCTCCTCGACCTCACTACTGGACACGCGAGCGTCGGACAGAATGTCCGGCTTCACGCTTGTACCTCGCGCTGCTGCCATGGCAAGTGTCTCCACTTCTGCATCTACGACGATACGTATGCTGGTGGTGGACGTCTGCAAGCTACAACTACCACACACCCTGCCATCCATTCCCCGCCTTTCCTGCTACTACGCGTTGGCACCACTCGGCCGGGACGTATACCTTCCTGCCCCGCCGACGCCGCGGTACGAGTGCGAGTATCTGCAGGAGGGCGGTGACGGCGGCACGCGATTTCCCGTTCTCTCTATGCGTGAGCTGCTCGCTGTCACGCGGGAGCCATTCATGTTGTTCTTCTTTGACGAGTCATCGTCTGCTGCCGCGGACAGGCGGGGGCGGCGGGGCGAAGGACCGTACTGGGCTCTTGCAGTGGCGGAGTGGCGGCTCGCGCTCGAGCGCCCAGAGGAGTATGTCTCTTTGGAGCTCCCGCTGATGAACCAGCAGGGAGTACCTGTGCAGGGCGCTGTTGTGCGTGTGCGATTACTCGCCACAAGCCGAGCTGAGAACGCCGAGTCGGGGCTGGCGGGGGCTCTAGAGAGGGCGCGTGCGGTTGCCGCCACTCCCCCCCTGTGGCAAAACCAATTCCAGCAACAACAGCCACAGCAGCAGCAGCAGCAGCAGCAGCAGCGGGCTTCAATAACCTCCCCGGAAGGCCGGGGTGGTGCGGCTGCTGTCTTCAACGCTGCGTCTGCGGCTCGTGTTGCTCAAGGCACAACAGGCAACCCGCCTAGATCGAGGAACGCTGAAGATTCCATCGAATTGGAGATGATCCGACGACAGCTGGATCGTTAGCTTCTGTGCTGTTGCTGCTGTTGTTGTTGTTGTGGTTCCGCTCTTTCGTGGTAGTGAGGATGGCGTGAATGTGGGGCAACATGCGTGAAGCGCGAGGAGAGAAAGGCAAGAACCCCCTCCCGAAAAAGAAAAAAACAAATGGAGGCACGGGCTCTAGCGTACTGGGTTGGTTCTCTGATGCATACCCGCTTGCATAAAGTCATAGAGAGAGAGAGAGAGAGAGGTGCTATGGAAAACGTCGCCAAGTGGCGGCCTGTTTCTCATTCTTGCTTCCCAAGTCTTTTTGGGCTGCGTTGCCGTTGTCTTTTTTTTCCGCCGTCGAGTGCGTCGTGGGGCTTTCGTATTGCAGCGGGGGCGCCTCCGAAGGATGTGCCGCTTTGTGTCTGTTGCCGTTTTTTTCCCCCTCCCTTATTATTATTATTGTTGTTGTTGTTGTTGTTATCAATATTATTTTCAGCCGTCTGCGGCTATCCGTTTTCCTAGCCCGGTGGGGTGAAATAGAAGAGGGCGCGCCACACCCAAACGCTCTTTCGCAAGGAGTAACAGCAGCATGCCGATGCGCGAGCGTCGCGACCCCGCCCCGCTGACCAAAAGCAATGCAGGCACCACAGCATCACTCTCCATAGAAACGAAGAAGCCTTTGGTGTCGAGCGGCAGTGTGGGGAGTCCCGGCGGAGTTGCACTGCGTGATGTGGATGCGCGCCACACTGGGCGGGCCATCCAGCGTACAATCGTGGGGCCGTCCTCTTCCAAGAAGCCAAAGCCGCTGGCGACGGGCCATCCACACCCTTTGCCGATGCCTCCCCGAGCTCATGCAGCCCCAACTGTGCTCCCGGAAGGGAGCTTAGCAGCGGCAGCAGCACTAGCAACAACTGCAGCCACAACAGTGGCGCGTACGAAAACGACAGTTGTGACGCGCACCTCCACGAACAAGGCCAAGCCCGTGTCACCGCCCCCGTCGGAGCCGTCAGCCTTGGACGACGCCCCTGTGGAGGCAAGCCTAGAGTATCTGACGCGGCCGCACCGCTCATGGGACAGCGCCGTTCGCGTCCGGGAGATGTGGCGGCGGCGCACGCAAGAGCACTACCGCGCGGCTGCGAGCCGCAGCACCTCGACGTCCCTTGCGAGCTCCATGCGGTCATCCACGGCGTTCTCGGCCAGCAGTTCCAGTGTCTCCGGCTTTACTGTCCGTAGCGCACCGCCGACGGTCGGGCGGCTGCGCGCTCCGTCATCGGGCGGCGGCGGTGGTACGCTTCGACGCGCTCGCTTCGGTGCGCTTCCGAGTCGTCCACCGGAGTCGGAGGGGCTCGCTGTGGGTGGCAGTCGACTGCCGCTGCCGTTGGCGCCGCCGTCTCGACTGAAGCCGCTGCCGCTGAGCCGCGCGTCAGTGTCGCCAGCAACAGACAGTTCGGGGCTCACACAATCCGATGGGCGCGGGGTGAGCGCATCGTCGTTTGGTGAACCGCGTGTGTTTGCCTTTTCAATGCAGTAGCAGGAGACGACGAAGGAAACGGACAGGAAGGCGATCGGCAGATGCGGCGTGATGCGTCGCAGGGGTGAGGAATGTCTATTTGTCTCGTGCGTACACGAGTTTTAGAGGGTGGTGGCATTTTCCTACACCGCGAGGGGGCGGGTTCCCGGTTTGTTGTCCGTCTCATTATGTCCATACGTACATCCCCCTCGCCCACGCTGGAGGTGCGGGTTGCAGGAGCGGAGTGGCGCACGACGACGCGCCCCTCTCCCCAAAGAGGAGGAGGAGGAGGTGGAGGAACGGAATATCTATCTATCTATCTATCTATATATATATATATATATATATAAGGCTACAGAAACACTGCTTGCATGAGGGCACAGACCTTTATCTCCACTATTCCTCTATCGTTCGTACTTACTTGTTTTGGCTTCGTTTTCCGCTATCTCTCTCTCTCTCTCTCTCCCACACACACGCACGCTCTGCAACCACGTTTCTTTGCGGATTCCTCCCCGTGGCAGCTCACGTGCCGTTGTTCGGCGGGATCTATCCATAAGTGGGCGCACTCGGCAAGGACAGAGGTGCCAAAACCTTTTTCCCCACGATAAAACCAAAAAAAAAAAAATACTTAAACAACGAAAGCCAAGAAAGGTAAACGAGAGTAACACAACGGCCGTTAGTGTGGGCGTGTGTGTTTCTGTGTTTCTGTGTACAGTGTCAACATAGTGTGCAGCCATACATGGTGACAATCGGTCTTGGATCGGCGGCCCTTGAACTGCTGCAGAGCTACTCCATCGACCTCAAGGACTTCTCCAAGGCGCGGGCACGCTACGAGAATGTGCGGGCGGAGCTGGCCGCCGCGGCCACAGACGACCAGAAAGCTGCCGAGTCAACAGAGATACGGCAGCAGCTAGTGAACGCGTGGGAGGAGTACCTCACCCTCGCGCAGGCATACTTTCGAAAGGTGTCTAGTGCTGTAGTACAGGATTTGTTGGAGAAGTCACGCGGCAAGGCGGCGGCGGCACACCGGGCAGAGAAGCTGAACGAGCTCTGCGCTATTGGCGAGAAGTGGTACGTGCGTAACGAGTGTTACTTCAACTTTGAGGATCCAGAGAAGTTGGCGGGCATTGTGGAGGATGCACTAGACTCCTCCAGTGTTGTGATGCGACTCCTCGGATTGCAGTTGACCCGCATATGCTGCGCCAACGTGATGTTCGTGCGGCACTTATTCTCCAGGCGGGGCTGCGGGCTCATTGGCATCTGCTTTGACCGAGAGAACGCAACAGAGTTGGAGTACGCACTCAACATGTGCTCGCGGCTGATTGAGCTTTACGCGAGTGACCCCAAGGCGTACCCGGTTTTCCCGTACGGCTGGATCTACCGCATTGCCTCTCTGCTTGATATGCAGGACCCGGTGCCGAACTTGCTCCCCAAGCGAAAAAGCCAGGCGCTTCGCATAGCTGTCAAACTGCTCCACTTGTTTCCAGAAATGGCGACGGCGGCCTCGCTACACACACTCTTGCTTCAGTACTGTATTCAGAAGGTTGCGGTTGCAGCCACGCTGGATGAAGTCAAAAGCATCCTGCAGGTCGTTCTGGACTTGTTTGACGGCGCGGAGACACGGCAGTACATCCGCTACAACGATTTAGATGTACTATACGAGCCATTCCTCTATTTTACAGAGAAGAGCAGAGATGCTAAAATAGCCACGATGAACGGTGCCAAGGATGTATTAGCCATGGTAATGCGTACGTGGGTCGGTGTTCTCTGGACCTCCTCTGAGAGAAAAGGGCTGTGTGCAATCATTGATGTTTTGCATCTCCCCGGTGACCTGGACCGGAAGATGGTGCTGCTGACTCTCTTCAACAAGGTTCTCTGCCAGTTGGCGCCCCACCGTGGGCTGACACTGATGGAGACGTGGGAAGGCGTGGAGGCAAATTTGCGACGCGCACCTGCATCAGCGACGGGCGCAAAGGACTTGCTTGGTGCGCACAACAGCTTTCTGGAGAATGAGACTCCGCACAGTATGGCTGATAGCAATAAAGGCCTTATGCCATTCGACGCCATGCTGGGGGAGCTGGACGACGGACATGAGGACTTTGTGCCAACTACCAAAGCGATTGGTTATCACGTCCTCGATCCATTCCTAGGGCGGGTATTGCTGATGCTCTCACACCACGGCCTTCCGCTCGCACTTGTGTGCATTATTCAAGACACATCAGCGAGCCGCGTTCTCACATTGGCTGCCTCATCACTCCTACAGGATCTACTGGTGTTGATGGACACCGTGCTCCCAGTGCGACCTGTCAAGCGGCTACACAAGGCGCTCAACAAAGCCGTTGGTCGCCTAGCACAAAGTGGTAACTTATCCTTGGATGGTGGTCATGCTTGGCGCCTTTTTAAATATTGCAAGGGTTTAAAAGATCTGACGGTTTCTGCCTCTATTTCTAATGCGACTGCAGCTTTGAGTGGAGGCTTGAGCGCACCAACATCAGCATCCATAACGGCGTATGGACTAGGCTCCCTGGAACTGGACGATGCAGGCTTTGAGGGGCTGCTGCAGGAGACGAAGGTGGAGCAGGCAAGTAGTTATACCCGATGGAATTATGATATTTTGTTACTTCTGGTCAACGGTCCGTTGCGGAGTTTGCCGCGATTCCGTTGGGTACTGAACGAGACGCGTTTTTTCCACAAACTCATCATGTTCTACCGACCGTTGCAGCAGTCAGGCACGCAAACGTTCATCTCGTTGCAGGCAGCGGAATGCACACCACAACTGTGTGTATTAGGAATAGCATTGCTGGATTTGTTCCTCTCCACGCGTGAGGGGATGCAGGCGCTGAATAAGTTTGATTTCACAAAGAGTCTTGTCGATATTCTCGAGGAGGTGGTTGACGGTACAACACGGGTATTGGACCGCCAACGACTATGTACTTCTGTGGGTCGGACGCTGCTCCGTATGGTTGGCCGCTATTCCCTCTCAGCAAGCGGACTGATGGCGATGAAGGAGTACAAAATGTTTGGTATCATCAACAATATGTTCACACAGCTCACCGGGGAACGGGTTACAGCACCATCAAACGACGACATGCTGCAGGGTGTTTGCCACCTGTTGCTGCAGCACCTATACATTGGTGCCGTCCCGAACCATGGTGTATGTGAAGAAATTCGTCAGATATTTCGCTTGGCGCTGTGCAACGACTCAAACTCGATACGACTCTGTGCTGCAATGCAGCTCCGCAAGGCGCTATGGCGCGATCTCTCTACCTCTATGCGTTGGGGGATTGAGATTCTCGTGCAGGCCCTACACGATGATTACTACAATGTCGTTGAAAGCGCCTTCAAGCTTTTGCTCAGCATTTGTTTATGCTCAGACGAGGCATTGGATTACTTAATATCGCTTTCACCAACAGTGTTGATGGAGAGCGAGGTCATTCGTGACCACGCACAGAAGCTCAACCTAAATACACTGCTGTACTGCATTGTTGGCAGGCCATCGGGGTTTCGCTTCCTGCAGTGCTACGGCTGGGTGGAGCAGGAGCTACGCCGGTGGGAAGATTCTGAGTCGGCTAACCACGTCGTCCTCGTTGAGAGCATGCAGTCTGGTGAACATGTGGTGATGTCGGTCGACTTCCGCGAGGGTATGAGCAGCAGGTGGCGGCAGCGACACAACCGCACACTCTCTGACCCACTTTACGCACTGTATAGGCCTGCTCTTCTCAGGTCATCCGCGCCGCCCACAGGTTTTGCCTCGTCACCAACACCCGGCTTTTTCCCCAGCCACTTCGCTGCGGTGCTGTGCAAGTCGAACGAGGGCTGCACTTTGTTCAAGCATAGTAACCTCTGGCAGCGGTCGGTGAGGCGCATTCTCGCCCAGCAGCTCCCTCCGGAGATTGTTTATGATGACGTCATTGATGCGGCTAGCGAAAGCAGTGAGGACAGTGATGACACTGAGAGAACGATGGGTGAAGAGAACCTTTCCTTCTACGGCCGCCCTGCCTTCAACGTGGATAAGGCACAATCCAAGAATTCCGCAGAGGCGCGCGAAATCCGGCTTCTGCAGGAGGGCCGTTTGCCATGCTCTTACTCAGCCGAGCTGCTGTCGGCTTCGCGTGGCTACAAGTCTGCAGGGCAGTCGTACATTCTCGAGTGTGTAGGAGACATCGCGGAGCTGAAGGACGCCATCCTGTGTGTGTGCCATACCTCCTCTAGCGACACGGGCTACGCGCTCCTGCGCACTGTGCCAGGGCTGATGAAGCGTCTGATGGCACTCACACGATTTGCGGCAACCGTCACGGTGCGAAGCATCTGCCTCGTGGGACTGAGCTTGCTTGCACGTTCCAAACGGTGTGCGGAGCAACTGCGCGAGATGGCGCACAGTGTGCTCAACGAGAGCAACGCCTACACGAGTGCCGATGGNGTACCCTACTCCGTTGCCTTTGCACACCTGAAGCCGTCCAGGTGGACGTCTGTCGGGCGCCTCGTGAACTCGTCCAGCGCATCGTCGCCGTATTTTGCGCACACGCAATGCGGGGACGGTGTGGCGGGCGGCGGCGGCAGCGGCGGCGACGTGACGTGTATGTTAGGGATGGCGGACTGCGGGATTATGATCAGCTCGCAATCCCGACGTGTGTGGGACCAGGTGTGCGCGCTCTCCAACCCGGTGAGCCGTGAGGGGGCGAAGAAGAAGCTATACCAACTGATGAGGCATCAGCCGCAGGTGTTTGTAGAACCGCTGATGCGTGGGATGCTGTTGGACGCCGCGCAAACGTTTCGCATGCGCCACGCCGAGCGAAAGTTCATCGCGGGCCTGCTGGAAAACGCGCCCCTCACAAAGCCGGTGTCTGGCCGCCGCCGTGCGGTTGTCGTGGACCCCCCATCGCCGCAGAATTGAGGAAGGCAGAAGGTTATCGATACAGCTGAAGTCAGGAGGAGCAACAAACGAAGAGAAAAAGAGAAAAGGAAGACAAAAACAACAACAAAGAAAACAAAACGAGAAGGGGAAGGGGGTAAAGAGGGGAGGGAG